AAAGAAGAAGAAGAAGAAGAAGAAGAAGAAGAAGAAGAAGAAGAAGAAGAAAAAGAGGAAGAAGAACGAGCACACCTTTAAAAACTGAAATTGTGGGTGGTTGAAGGGCGTCATTGGTAAGTCCTACTTCTTTACGTTCCCTCTGTTGTTTCTGTCTTTCTTACTTTTCCCCCAGAACTAAATGACCATTATTAATCATTGTGTCGGTGTGCTTCTCCTTATTCAAAAAGAAGCAAACAAACCAGCTGAAATTGTTGTGGATATGGTATAAAGCTATTTTGCAATTTCAATCTGTTACCTTTTCTTTCTTTTTTTTTTTTTTACCTTCCCAACAGGTCGGATACTCAATAACAGTTTTGCTATCAGTGATGCTACAAATGGGCCTGACAGCAGACTATCTTCCAAAGACCTCTGATGTGGTGCCCCTTATCACGCAGTACTTGACCATCCTCACCATACTTAGTATACTCAGTGTTGTAGCTACCGTCCTCATCCTCTTCCTTCACCACAAAAGTGATGAACAGGAACAGAAGAAGGTTAAAATCTTGGGCGTACTGAACAAGATGATGAGGCCGAAGAAAAAGAAAAGCAGTGACGCGGGGGTGAATAAGAAGAAGGATAATGCTGGTGGTGGCGGTGTTGGTGTTGGTGTTGGTGTTGGTGTAGGAGGTCGAGATGGAGGAGGAGGAGACAATGCGGAAAAAGGTAGCTCCCTGGAATCAGGCCATCCCTTCTGGACGTGGAGGAGCAGGGCTGCCAAGGTCCAGCCTCGTTTGCGATCCAAAGATGACCCCGAAACGGGCGTGGTTTCGCTGGAGGACCCCGATACTAATTCTTCTACAGATCTGTCAAAATCTACTCAAAAGTCTACTGAATTTGATCCGGGTGAGTCGGACAGCGGAACCGGGGGCTCATTTTGTGACCTTGAGAATGTGACGTCATGCCCCAACCTCAGGACTCAAAGATTTGCTGACGCTTGCTCGAATGGAGAAAAAGCGGAGACGAGATGTGTAGGCAGCCCTTGGGCTGTCAAGACGCGTGAGAAAAAATGCGTGGGCAAAAAAGAGGAACCGGTTCTGAAGCAGCTGTCCAATGTGGTAGATTATTTGTGCTTCTTGGTCTTCTCCTTTGTGTGGCTTGCTGCAACCATAGTCTATATGACTGCCCTGTTCTCCTCCTGAGTTATGAGCACGGGGTTGATGGCATTCGTTAAAAGATAGTAACGGACTTTACACGATTAATCAAATAGGTACTTAAGCTTAAACTTATTAAAAGGCGAACAGCAGCAGCTGTGACCAAAGGTGGGAGGAATGAATGAAAAAAAATGGAGACGAGAGCAGAGGCGATTCTCTAAATTATAAAGTGTATTTATATAGTATAGCGCAAATGTACATCTGAAGAGAAAGAGAGAGAGAGAGAGAGAGAGAGAGAGAGAGAGAGAGAGAGAGAGAGAGAGAGAGAGAGAGTGCGTCACGTGTGGCGTTTCATCATTTCATACGCAGAAGGGTTACAGCGGGTGTCTCAAACTTGAGGCCCCTTCCTGACATGAAAGTTATGAGTTGTGTGCCTTACGCATGTTTTTCTCACATGCACTCGTTGAGTATTTTTACCAAGAGGTTTTTGTTCTGGAAAAAAGTTCATGTTCTAAGCTATAATCCGGACAACACCGAATGAACAGCTTGTCGACCTCATTGCACACCGAATCTAAATGGCGAATGTCTCTGATTTTTTTGCAAGTGCCTATTAATTCTAAAAGAAAAAGACCTAAAAAATATCGATTTTCGTGTATATGCGACCAATATAGAGAGTTGCTGTCTATATAATCATTAATAATGAATTGCTCATTAACCTCAACACCGTGCACTTTTTATAGCAAGCACGGTACCAAGTTAAATAAACCCATAACAACACAGGGTGTCGTTGCATGGGCGTAGCCAGAAATTTCAGGGGGATACAGTTTGGTCAAACCCAGAACCGGGGGGTCAACAGAGTACTAAATTGGAAGCGCTAACTAATAGGTTAAATACTCTCTGCTAATAGGCATAACACTGCCCTCCCCCCC